GTCTCACTGGAGTGAAGATCAGGGGCTTGGCGGGCACTGAGGCTCCGCCGTGGTGGGGCCCCATCCCCCAAGTGGGGAACACTGTGGATGCTGCCCCGAGCTAGGAGGTCTGCGCCCAGCTGCTTGGAGCCTGCGCCTGGCCCCGGGACACTGGGAGCTCTGCATGGGCAGCCCCGAGGCATGCCCCTGCTGGGAGGGCAGCGTGGCGTGGCGTGGCGGCCGATGAGGCTGAGCCCAGCGGCCTCTTCTTTGCCTTCGTGAGTGGGCCCCCCCACCTGTGTGGCCTCCCCTGGCAGGCCACCCCCCCTCCCATGCGCCCTCCCCGCAACTCTCCCTCCCCGGGCCCTTCCGCCTGCGTTCTCTCCCCCGCAACTCCCCTGCCCAGCTGTCCCCACCTCTTGGCCCCCCTTGCCCAGCTGTCCCCCCCAGCCTTTGTGCCCCTGCCCACTGTCCCGCAACCCCCCCACACCTCCTCCCTCTCTCCACCTCCCCCAGCTCTGCCTCTGCCCAGCAACCCCACCTCTTGGCCCACTGCAACCTCACTGGGACCCCATCTCCTCTTCTCCTCCCCCCCCACCTGGATCCCCATCTCCTGTCTGGCTTTCTAAACAATCCCCCCTCCCCCTACTCTCGGGGCCCTGAACCCTCCCCTCTCCCACATCTGCCTAGGAACCCAGCCCCCTTGTGCTGTGTCCTGACAACCTCACCCCTGCCTGGGACCCAGGTGATTCTCCCTCCTCCTCTGTCTGAGGAAGGGGAACTCTGGTATTCCCAGTGCCCATGTTCCCAAGTCCCTTCCTGTCTGGGGCAGGAAAGCTTTATTAAAATTGGAATTTTGATCCCATTTAAATAGGCTTTGTTTTAAATAATATACCTTTAAAATTAAATAAAAAATTATGGCCTAAATTTATCATAACCTATTTAAATAACTTATGAATTAAATTTAAAAATTAAATAGAACATGTCTCTTGTCAACTTTTAAAGAAATTCTACCGGTTCACTAGTGTAAGTTGCTGTGTAAGCACTCAGAACCAGTGTTTATATCAGCAGTAGTTTCTTCTGCAGGTGAAAAGAGAATGTTTTTATCACTTTGGTTTATTCAGCTAGTTCAATTCAATGATTAGTTCATTCACCGTTGCAAAACCGAGAGTTGACGAAGCAGAAAAACTTGTTTTCCCCTTCTCTCAGTAAAAAACTGGTTATGAGAGCATTCTAACATCTTGAAAAACATGATGACTAGATTCAATCTGTTAAATTCACTATGGATATTTCCTTTGTTTAATAAATGAATTTTAGATGCAAAATGTGTTTGGATACTTTTTTGTTATGTGTCCTTCACATTTAAGGTAGTTTTATTTCATACAAAAATTAAATGCTGGTTTTGTTTATTTTACATAGAATTTCCGTCCAGACAGAACTAGATGTAAATCATATGTTTTTAAAAAAGTAGCCACCAGTTAGCAAATAATAAATGGGGTAAAACCTGTCTCTTGAGTGTTCCTATTACACACCATTTTGTAATAGAATAAAAATGTAAAAATTAAGAATCTGATTACATGTAAGTTACACAATTATTTGGACATTTATTTAGTTGGTAGCTGTACTGAGTGTATTCTCCTGGTTAGTAAATAGAAGCACCAAATTTCACATAAAAGTTATATTTAGTTGTAAATCAACATGTTTTAAAGGTTGCTAATCAATAAGACTCAACCATCCTTTAGAAAAATATTTTTAAACTATAATTTAAATGATTAATTGCTCATTTAAACCTAGGTTTTCTGCTTGCCAGTTTAAATTATGATTAAAATTAGAGATTTAAATCAAAGCTATTTAAATCAATCCACCCTGCTTCAGAGGCCAATGTTTGGTCTGTCCTTGAAGGAGAAAGCACAGGGCTGTGCTCATGGAATAGGTCCTAGGCTAGTGGGGTTTTGTTGTCTGATGCCTGTCTTGTTCTGGACAGTTGAGCTGGGGAATTGAAACAAAAGTTCTCTTAATCCCTTTGAACTGTTTCATTGTACAGTGAGACTGATTCTTGTCCATGGACACCAAGAGTTGGACAGCTTATGTGTTGGGGTTGGAGTCTGAGTGATTATAAGGCTTCTAGTAATAAAATCTCTTTGCAGAGTGAGGAGTGGGACAGGGAGTCCAGCAATAAATGAGGTGAACAGCGGCATGCTTTGGAAGTCTTTAACTGGCTTGCTGTGGATGAACCTGCCTTCTCATTGCCCTCACATGGGGAGTCCCTGGCGCTCTCCTAGGAGATGAAAATGCCCCGGGGTTTGGGCTTCCCCTGAAGAGCACGCCCCAACCCCCGGGAAGCCGCACAAGCTGCATTTGCGCATGCACCTCCAGCAAGCCGTGCAAGCTGCATTTGCGTGCAGACCCTCCCCGGACAAAAAAAGGGGGGGGGAGGCAGCCAAAAAAATTTTTGCTTGGGGCGGCAAAAAACCTAGAGCCAGCCCTGCTTGGCAGCCAGTGTGGTGAAT